CAGTGTAACCATTCTATACTTTTTTTCTTAATTTTTTTTTTACCGAATTCTTGATTCACCTTTTTTTTTTCTCTCTCTCTCAATATTCCTTCATAGGTTAATGCTGTTATGCCATTGTTTTCAGTCACATTTTACTTACTGACTAGTGAGACCACTTGTAATTCTCTGACAGGAAACTTGGTAAAATGTGTAAGGGTCAGCTTTGCACTGTAATTTTGGGACGAATTAGCATGATTTACATACAGCAAAATAACATTAAATAAAACAGGTTTTAAATCCTGTTTGTAGAAACTCCGGGGACAGAAGCCATATTTCACCCATACATTTATGATCTACAATTCTTCAGTTAACCCCTTGGTGACGGGTGATTTTTTTTTTTTTAACTTTACACTCTGGCAATCAATGGCAAAGTGCCAACTTTGAGCGCAGAAGTTTGGTACATCAAGCTGAATCACCGGTTCGTAGCAGTTTGTTATGACGCCTCATGTCGTGACCCGTCGGGACGGGGTTAAATCTGAAATTACTTTTTACCTGGTCGAATCACAATATAGATGCATTAAATCATGATTGAATAGTTTCCTGATGATAATATGAAATTTATACATAAACAGTATGTTATTGATTAAATTTTTGTAGTAGTAAAAAAAAATAATAAATAATCAACACAAAAGTTGCACTGTCAACAGTATGTCCGTCAAGCAATCATTGCAACCTATGCAGATATCGTCACTCAAACAACAAACAAGGTTCATCTTTTCAAAAAATGTATTTTTTTTTACATTATTTAAACCAATGTTTGTGGGGCAACCTGTGTGTGGTCCCCCCCTCCTGTGTCCCCCAAAATTGTAGAGAATAGGATGAAAAATATAGGAAAACACAAACATCTCCTTTAGAATTACCCAACAAACTTTTAACACATTTGAGTAATAGAGCTTACAAACCTTAGTGATGATTAATGTAAAATAAGGAAACAGTTCTGTATTTATGTTTGCCATAACTGTAAAGAGGAATTTATTTGCCTTTGCCAGAATGCCAAATACTGTGGAGGCTCTGGCAGTGACTTGATGCCACACATCTTCAAATAGTTACCCATCATATGTAACTACAATTGCATTTGACCCAGTTTAGTCATGCATTCTCTGGTGGAACACTGAATCTATTCATTGCAGTTATATGCAATAGACAACAAAGTTAAGCCAGACTGGTAATAATTTTCAGTAATACTGTATATATTGTAATATTAGAAGTAAGGAGTTTTTATTAAATGCATTTGCTTATTAACCCTTCGGATCTGGTTGCATCATAGCACTATGAAAGTGGACAGATTCACAAGAAAAAATAAGGAAGAAAGTTTCATGTGCCCCATGGTTAGCTACATACATATGCTTGATATAGCATAGTAAGTTATCCTTTAACCTACTAATTGAAGATATTTACTTCATGCAATTAATATATGCATTTTGCTATTTTTGTTATACACTAATCAAATTGTACTAACCTTCTTATGTCACACTTCCACTATTACGTGGTAGTATTTCTAGTGGTAGATGAACTTAGTGACTTGTAAAACTTTCAGCCAGCTCTCAGTATGATTTTTTTTTTTACATGTCCACCCTCTTGGACAGCAGGCAGACACAGACTGAAATTTTTTTTGTGGTAGCTGCAGACAAAGGTTATGTAAACTCTCACCCCTTGTTCCCCTGTTCATTTGCTCTCAGTAGAACTATCTCATCAAAAGGAATTGAGGCTGTCAGGAGTGGATCTTTCTCCTTCCCATCTGAAGGGGGGTATGGGTGAGACACTTATAATAGAATATTTTGGAGGAGCAAATCTTATTTTTGCTGAATACACAAACAATGTCTGAAATAATATAAATGTAGCTCGTGCATATGAGATGCTTCATCCTTTCCTCACAGAAAAGCCACAGGCTGAATATGCAGGTTTATCAAATGATATATACACCCATGATCCTTTAATGCACGGCTTGTATATCAGCTGTTGCTCTCATAGATTTGTGTTTATTTAATTTACTGGGTGATGAGCATGTTTGCCATGCAGTCAGTCCTGAGCTGAGCTCTGTTGCTGTGATTTCCTGTCATCATTCAATATCCTCAAAGACCCTTAACTTGCTTGACCTCTGTCATTGTTACGATGTATCTAATGAAGTTGAATTTGTTACTTCCAAATAATAAATGCTCTAATTAACACTAATGATTATGGATATTCAAATACAATTAACCCCACCTGGACAGGTCACGTGTACTGGAGTCATAACAAACCACTTGGTCTGTAGGATATGCTTTGTACGCACAGCAATGCACCAGAGCTTGTGGAGCGGGATGTTCGGTTTGATGTCATGGACTTCTGCACCCAGTGTCTGACTGTTGCCAGAAATCACTAGAGTTTATTACGCTCAGGGATGTCTGTTCACCCGACGGTGATGGGTTAATAACTTTCTCATAATCACATAACTTTAAAAAGCAATGATCATTGCACAATATATCTTAGAAAGGTGAAAATATGATACTTATTGGATAGTAACCTTTCTGTAGCTGATTGAAAAATCAACTCTGGTGCCACTTCCGTATATTTCATAGCATTATCTGACATTTATAATGTTCTGCTCTTCAGTAAAGTAACGAATTATAGAAAATTCTGTTTAAAGTAAAGTCTGAAATAACAACAGTTGCGGACCTCACACTATTTGCAATTGGGTCTCAATTTTTAATTACTTATCTATTTTGCTACATATTCCTTTTGCACACCTGGTGCCTTTTGATTCATATAAAAATATTTTATGCAGTACATTACTTTCATAACTAGCATATTGCACATTTGCAATGTACAGAAAAATGCTTTAAAAGTACTAAGAGAAACTCACGCAGTAGCATACAGCAGTTTCAAATTCCTATGAAATTCTTCAGGCCCCTCTTGCAATGTAACAAGGGGCAGACATATCAGCTTGCTCACTGTAAGAAATATATTAGTTGCACAAAATACTCAATACTATTATAAGTTTACTGTTGTATTGTCCTTTTAGGCAACTTTATGTGGGATTTATTAACATACATAATTATGTTATTACAATAAATGCAAAAAAACAAATGGCATCATTGTTTTCTTTCTCAACAAACAGTATTTGTTAACGAGAGTGATGAACTCTAGATAAAAAGTCCTAACACCAGATTTGGGTTATCATGCTAACCCAAAAATCCAAACCTAACCTTTCCTACCTTCTATTTATTCCTTAGTCAGGGGGCAAACCCTACCATGTACCCCCTCTTTATTAGCACTTCATGAAACTGCCATAACAGGTGTTATAGAAAATGTTTGTGACAGACCTTCAAGTATGGAGGGTGCAGACGAGCTGCAGGAATGATGTTAAGAACTCTGGCTGTGTGAGGGCATTATAGATTTAGTTAGAGTGGTGATATTTTTGTCATTTTGCAGTAAAAATGAGGTTGCACCAGCTATACCTTTATTGTTTATGCTCTATAAGATGGCAGTGTCCATTTTTCTCTGTGTCTCAGTAAAATTAACCATAAGAACAAAGCAGATTTTAATTTTGTGTATAAATTTCTATTCAAAAGGCTTGGTGGGGGTCCATGGAAAATTAGGCATTTGGGTTGTATTTGATATCTGCCTGATGTAAAAGGGAAATATTATCAATGTGCTTTTGTTATATATTAATCAGCTCCATAGTGTACCATATGCTTTACAATTGTAGTTGCTTCCATGGCTTTTGGCTCTAGGTTGAAGAGGTTAGCAAACATTTTCCACAGTGATAATAAATTTCCTGGTTGTGTTGTTAATGTATGTCCCACATTGTCAAAGTATTTTTTGTACTGGAACTAATACAGCAGTCACATGTGTTCACAATACAAGAACTGTCTCAGAACTGCCCTAAATAATCAAGCTTCTTTGAACAATAAGCAACATGAAACATCTTTTCTGAGTAGTGGGTAGTTTTCATTATTGAATGTCAATTGAGGAATTGAATATTCAGGGATTGTTTTTCTCTTGATAAGGGCACATTTACAAACAAGTGTCCATTAAATTAAACAAAAACACATTAGATACTATCCATTTGATCTAATCACCCTTCACCCTTAACCTTTTTCCCCCTTTACTCAATCACACTTAACTCTATGTGCTCCCCCACTTTACCCTTTTCATTACCGTACTATCCAATAGGGCTCTATAAGCTTTGACACCCTGTGGCCTATTATTTAACTCATTTTACCCTTTTTGCCACAATACTTTACCATAGTGCTATGTGACCTTTAATATCTGGCACATTTATTTGTTTTAACCATTAATCACTATATTACTATTAGATGTGCTATGATATCTTTGATAACAAAACCAGCATCAATATTGTGATAACATTACTGCTTTTTATTCTCTCTTTCTTTCTTTATTTTCCTCTCTCTTTTTTTAATCAAGGAAAGGTGAAATGAGGTGAGGTCACAAGGTCCACTAATTGCCTCCTTGATTGCTGAGCACTTGTGGAGCCATCTGTATGTAGAGACATTTCACTAAACAGAACAACAGTAAATGCTGTATTTGCCTGGCAAGATTGGGGCTGAAATTTCTAACCTATTTTTCATAGAGAATTTATTGTTAGTGATTTCAGAGTTATAAATTCCTTCCTTTCCTCTTCCAGAACAGGTTGTGGTGGTATCAATAGATTTGAAATGGGACGTAGACTTCTCCAGCAAAGTCATCTCAGGCTTTGCCACTTTAACAGTGGAACGGAAGCAGGACGAGGCTCAGCATCTCGTAAGTCTAGGACCAATAATCATATTTGTATTAGGACTAATGGTGAAAATATATACAGTAAAGTAAAGCAGAATGATTTTACTAAAACTTTTCCTGTTGCCTTCATTATTTTAGGATTGAAGGAAAAATACTTGAATAATATATAAACAGTTACCAAATGTGTTTATATTTCATACAGTTTTCTTGTATGTGATTAACCCCTTTTTCTTCATACCCTTAAATGGTGACGAAATTGCTCTTCATTGTCAGATTCTGGATGCTCGTGACCTAAGCATAAAAGCAGTGAGGGATGAGGAAACAGGTCAAGTCCTGCAGTACACACTTGGTGACCCTCACCCGAACTTCGGATCAGAATTCAAGATCATCCTGCCATCAGACACCAAGAAAAAGTGTGATTTAGTGCATTATTATGTTGTCATTTTGTGTATATAGCTGAAGAATATCTTGAATATAAATATGTGAAAGTTATTTTTAAGAAATGCATTGTAGAATGTAAAAATATCAGTTGGTAAACCATAGAAATATTTTTATACATCAGGTATAAGGTGCAGATCGAGTATGAAGTGTCCCCCAAAAGCTCTGCACTTCAGTGGTTAGACCCAGAACAAACAGCAGGGAAAAAACATCCCTATCTCTTCTCACAGTGCCAGGCCATACATTGCAGGTCCTTGGTGCCATGTCAGGTAAGATGAGATATTGAGTATCACATTTACCGACCTATCAGGGAAACATCTCTTGGAACCTATTTTGACAATTGAATTAACCCCTTGCCGCCGGGTGACGGCGATACGTGTGTAAACAAATCGCTCGAAAGGTGGCGTGCGGCCAAACCAGCCGGCGGCGCGCCAAAGCGCGGCGAGCCAGTGATTCGGGCTGACGCCCCGTACTCCGGCGCTCAAAGTCGGCGCGCCGCCTTTGTTTGCCAGAGCGTAGAGTTTTATTTTCCTTTTGTACACCCGGCGTCATTGGGTTAAAGCAATATAAGAATATCACTTAACTAAAACACACACAAAGCCACAATCTATGACATCAGATACTGAAATTACCCGAGTCAGAAGATGAATATTTAAGCTTTTTGTGACAGGTCAGCTACTAGAGCAATATTACAAGTCAAGGGGCTAATGTTATAACTCATTGCCCCTGTGTGGTATGTATGTCATGCTGTGCTGAGAATAGCATGACATACATCACATGGTAATGGCATGACATAAGCCATCCTATTATCATCCTAGTCTAGTTAGAGTTTATAGCTCTTCTTCCATGTGGATGTTGCATACAAGACTATATTGGTATATATTCAGCATGAAGACAAGCATTCCAGTTGCCTGCACATGATATACACTTGTTCATGTGCACTGTAGAGTTAATAAGGATTTCTAGGAATTTAGGCAGCACAGAGATATTGGATAACATTATTGGTTTCTTGAACAACTTAACTTACTTTAACACATAACCTGTTGGATCTGGGTAACATAACCATCACATGATAAAAAAAAATCTGGGTCGAGGGGCAGGTGACATAAACATGCCATCATGGGAAAATCTGGCTCTAGACTGGTTGAAACAAACCTGCCATCGTGAGCATTGCGGCTGAAGGCCAGGGTGATGGGAAAGACTTGCCGTGGGTGCACATACCTATTTGGAGGTTTATTTTACTCATTTGGTGATTTTGCATTATTCCCATTGATGTATGAGTGTGGAATGAAATGTCTGTGAGTGGTGGCTGGAAGAGCACCGGCTCTGGGTAGGACACCATATCCGTGCTCAGCAGCATATTCCTGGTGCCATGAGCAACAACCCAGGTTACTTTACAGAAAATTGAGTATTACGTAAAAAAGAATATATATATAGTGACAAAAGTTTCATAGTGCAAGAAAAATAAAACTATGTAACACTGAGTTGTAGACAACCTTGAGAGATCATTGGAGTCTGTGTAAGAAAAATAACTATTACCATCTGGATAATGCAAACCAAATGGCAAATGTGAGTGTTGGAAATTGGCCAAATGTCTAAAAACATTTATATGTAAAAAAATAATAATGAATTTGCAAATAGGAGGTACAGAGTCTTGCCACCGCACACATGTGTTTGCATGTGCCCGGCCAACAAGCAGCCACCCAGCTGAGTGGCTAACCATGTATGCCTAATGCCCTGATTTTTGGTGATGTGATTGCTATGATGCAAATGAATTCATTGGGTTAATATACAATACAAGCAAAAACTTCCTGGAAGAGACAAAGAAATTAAATAATAATTTAATTACTTTTGTGCCACTTGCATTGAGCATATAATACTTAAACCCAAGTGTCAAATGTGGCATTACAAAACATAAAAGCAGACACTGATAGATTAATATTTTAAGGCATTTTGTTCATATGTTAGAAGGGATTTTTTCTTTTCTTGCTTTCATTTCTTTTTTTTTCTTTTTTTCCTCTATATACCAGTATGTTCAAGTGGAACCACAAATATCAAGACAATGAAAGGTTTATGAGGACCTTTACTAAAGTTCTTTATTTTTCAGAATGTGTACTTGTTAACCAGGATAAGTCCTATAGGTAGCCTTATAGGCCAGCAAACATGGCAACAGGAATATCTAAATTTTCATGAGAGAATTTGCCTCTTTTTCTTTTATTTATACATTTATATTAACCCATTGCCACCGGGGATGGCATGGACGTACATGCCATGCCCACTGTGAGTCAACTTGTTTGATTGTTTTTACATACTAAGTATCCAATAAGCCAATTACAAGTACTGCCTGTCTCGCCCATTCACCCTTTTCATCGATTTACGAAAATATTTAACGTTATCCTAATTTGCTGTTAAAAATAACACCATCTATGTTTATAGCACTAGTAAGAATACGTTTTTTCCCGCCAATTCAAGGAAAGGTGAAATCAGGACTAACAGAGCCATCTATGGAGAGAGATATTTCATAAAAATATAAAAAATGAGTACTGCCTTTCCCCCTTTTTTTGTTCATTTTCCCCGGCGGCAATGGGTTAAGAAATGGACCAAAGTAAACAGATATAGAACAGAAATCTACTTGGAATTTATGTACAGGAAGAACACTTTATAAGAGCATGAACATTATTAAAAAGGGGAAACAATGCTTAAGTTGAATGATTACATTACACTATTACTGTAAGAAAGAGATTGTGTAGATGGAAATCCTGACAGGAGCTTGTATCTCCATCAAATGAGAAGGTGTAGAGTTCAGGGTACATGTATGCAAATTTTAGTTGTTTTTTTCTTCTCCCATCTTGCCTTACAATATAACTAAATTATGAGAATTATACAGTTTGCCTCAGCCAAATATACACGTTATTACATAGTTCTTTAGAAAAGATGAGCACCATAGTAGTTTGTTATTGAGCTGCATGGTCTTAATGCACTAGTATTGTTAGGGGTGCTTGTCCATGGATCCAGCCTCTAATATTTTATGAATATGTGGCTCACTTATATGAATTTTAAAGTAAACTCATAATGGAGCTGTTTATCTAGTGCACGTCTAATTTTTTTCTAGCGTGGGCAAAGCTCCTGTGTTTCAGGATCCTAACAATACTTTTAACTTTATATTGTGTAGAAGGACACCTTTCCTTTTTATGTTTCTGAATGTGAAATAGTTATTTATATTTTTTTCTTTATTTATTTCCTTCTTTTTTTACCACTTTTCTTTTTTATTACAGGATACACCAGCAGTTAAGGCAACATACACAGCAGAGGTGAAAGCTCCAAGTGAATTGGTGGTGCTTATGAGTGCGCTACGAGATGGCCACAAGGAGGAAGGAAATGGGACTGTTTTCAGGTAGTCATCAGTTGCTTTTGAATAAGTAGTCTTTCTAGTTTAATGATTAATAGAATTAAAGTAATAACTAGGGTACAAGTAGTGGTAAAACATCTTGGCTTTGTGGACAGAAGAGACACAGAATGGAGTAGTAAAATTGATAGCACTAACAGGAAAGATAATCTCTTCTTTCTAGTTTACACTAAAGTTTTATCTAGCTATGTGAAATGAGGGAGATTTTTCAGTCGATGAGTGAGGTCTAAGATCAACAAAAAAAACTGTATCGGATATGGGAAAGTTTATAAAAATGAGAAAAGTGACATGAATCTCAGAGCATGTAGAGAGGAATGCAACAGGAATCTGAGATGTCAACAAATCTGTTTTTATGTAAAGTAGGATGGTAATATCTTTGTGAATTTACAGTTCACAGAACCAGGAGGAAAAATTTTCTTTTTGAATTTATTTGATTAGGAATTGACACTGTAGAAGAAATACAAATCAAAGGTTGGGATGGTAAGATATTATTTTGAACAGTAAGGGGCTTGTTAATAAACAGAAGTAATAAACTTCAAAACGAAATAGAAGTAAAGGCATACATTTTGACCAATTTGCCACATGCTTGCAAAGCACCTTCATTATCAAATGCAGTAGTAAAAGAAATCATGACGATTTGATATATGAATATGGACAAATTCACACACACACACACACACACACACACACACACACACACACACACACACACACACACACACACACACACATACACACATACACACATACATATACACACACACACACAAAAGGTTATATACTGAGGAAGATATATTCATGTGCTCCATGATTAGCTACAACTTAGTTAACCCAATGGAGGAGTGACAGAAATGAAAAAGCAGGAGGGGAAAAATACTGTCCAAATTTAGTTGAGCTGAGCTGAGGCCCAAGGTAGGGGAGATCCCCAGCATTGGGTCCCAGTCCTCGCCTCCTAAGCCACCCATGGCAACAACAGGCAAGGTATTGGGGGGTTGGGGAGGGAAAGAAAATGGGAGTTGCTCTTTCCTTTGCTTTCTTTGTCCCTTCTCCCTTCTTGTGTGTTTATTCTGCTCGGTGCTTTCACTTTTCTATCCTCAATTGCTTGGGTTGACTGGGGCAAGGGGAAGGTTTTCATTTACTATAGGCCTGCTCCTCATTCAGTACTTATACTAGCCCCTGAGATTCTCTTACAGTTGTTGCTTCCTGATGAGTGACTGCAGTGGGGCAATCCCTCAGGCTTCCTCTGGCCCAATACCCTGACTGTTGGAAGGACAAAGAGCTTGCACTTCATTGCTCTTTTCCTCCCATGTACTTTGGAAAGAACACTGTTGATCTAAGAACTATTGAATTCTCTTCTTTTCAAGGAAGTTTGTTGTTCAAAATTTCAGTTTATCTGGGCTCTTATTAGGCTAAAAGTTATCTATTGCTGTGCTATATTAACCCAATGCCATGGGGGAAAATGCTGTGCTCATTTTTATTTTTCTGTGAAATGTCTCTGAACATAAATGGCTTTACGACCTTACCTGATTTCACCTTTCCTTGAATTGGCAGTAAGAACGTTATTTTTACTAATGCTCTGAATATCCATGGTCTTATTTTCTACTATCCACTTCCTAAGATTTGAGAGCCATGCTGAAAGGATAAAAGGCTGACTTTTTGCTGAGGGAGCTATGAGCACAGTATTCCCATTTTAGTTCTCTAGCCCTTACCCCTCAAGGGGACCCTGAGGGGTGGACTGTTTGTCTCCCCAACATACTCTAGGCTTTCCATGGCCAATAATGAAGACATTATACCCTTGTTAGGGGCAATGAGGCTTGCCCCTTCATCAGACAGCCCCACAAACTCAAACTCTTCCAGTTCCTCAACCCCAGGCTCTCCTTTGACCACAACTCTGAACACTGCAACTACTACCCCCTCCTCAATGCCTACTTGTATATTATCCACCCAAGTCAACACTCGGTCTCCAGGAGATATTCCTACTCGCCCAACATTCTCAACTTCATCACCTCTACTCCCAGGACCTTCTTCATCAATCATCCCATCTTCCCTTATTATACTTTACAGCCTTATTGTCCACCTTTTCGTAATACTACCTCTCTCACCACTACTCCCTCTACATCCCCGTCCTTCTACTACCCCCATCTCTATAAATATCTTAAATACTCTATTTAGCTCAGCCAAATGAGACCATTTTTTTTTTTTATCCCCCACAGCTCCTTACGGTGACAACACTCTTCTCTTCCAGCAATATTTCCAAAAACAAGTAGGCAAAGTCTCTTTCCATAGCTACCCAATCATTCCCATCTCGTCACAGTTACATCTGAAAACCAAGCTATAGTATTATCAACTCTTAACTGATCTCTCTGGCAACCCCATTCCTCATCCAACCCTCAATACTTGCACTGGAATGGTCTCTACGGTCTTTATCTCCCCAGCAAACTCCCCTATCTATAACAAAAATTACTCGCCTGCCTCATGGACTGTGATATGATATCAGTACAGTGCCACTCCATTCCTCTTAGAGGAACAACATTGCCAAAATTACTTTCTGTAGACATGACCTTCCCTTTATCCTGTTTCTGCCAGGTGAAGAAAATAAATTAAAAAAAACTATGCTCTTGAGATTAATGGCAACGAGCCAGCTTTGAATGTGGGAGTTTGCTACATTAAGCCAAATGCCTAGCTCATACCACTTTGGCACGTCACCACAGCATACAGCTGCACTCCACAGATCAAACAGTTTGTTATGATGCCAGAAGGTGTGACCCGGCTGAAATGGGTTAATGTTTACATTGGTGGAGAATCCCTCCCTATCCACCCATATCGACCCAGTCATTGCCGTTTAGGACATCCTGCCAAAGATTGCCGTTCCACAGCCCAAATGCCCTCTATGTGCCCAACCTAGTTGTAACCGATCAAGCTGCTCTGCACAGTCAAGAACATATGCCAATTGTGGCAGCCCCCATAATGTATTTTATAAGGGCTGCATCACCTACAAGTTTGAGTCTGAGGTAGCAACTCTAAGATTCAGACTTGCTTTCACTCTGCATGAAACCAGACTGGAAGCACATCAACAAGCTTTTTCTCTTACTTCATACTCCAATAATGTTGTTCAATCTGCCCCTCCCCCTCCCTCCCAAGATACAGTATTCCTACACCCTCTCCTGTACCTATCTCTCCTACATCTTACTTCCCCACTTTTACCTCTCCAGTCATATTCTTTTGCCATTCTAAACCTAGACACTCCTCAACTGCAGCCTCCCTTCTTCCTCTTTCACTGTTTTTACTGACTCCCGTAACTCATTAACTCTCATAAAGTCTATGTACTTGACCAATCCCCTTGTCTGTAAGATCCAGAACTGGATCTTCTACCTGTCCACATACCATAAATCTATCAGATTTTGCTGGGTGCAAACTTTTCAATATTAATCTAGATATTTGACATACAGCAACTAACAACTAACTCAACTGCCCTTCACTGCCCTTTACTGTACCTATCCATAGTGCTGCATGACCTTAGATGTCTGGCACATTCATTTTGTTTTTAACCATTAACCATTAACCATTTCCCTCCCTAAACAGTAGGTCACACAAACCTATCCCATGATGACATGTCCTCTCCCTCTAAAGCAACATTTCCTACTGTCTCCATACAAAAGCAGCAGAGAAGACAAATAAAAAAGAGAGATGTGGATTAAATACAACAGAGAACTCAAGAAAGATGCACATTCTTATGCACTCACCCACAACCTCTTCACCTTTCTCCTTCAAGCTCGAATAGACAGGAAAAAGAGAGCAAGCATAAACAAATGGAGAGGAGAACAAAATAAGAAAGCAACTCAAATAATGAACAAAGCTCAATTATGCTCAGGACCTGATGCAGTAGAACAGAAATAGTACCTGCCCATAAAATGTTTCTAAATCATGTTTGCATATAGTGTTGGTGAGAAAAACAAATCTTAACCTTTAGTGTAAATTGGAATTTCCTTCTTTTTTTTTTTTTTTTCTTATTGTGCCTGATTGGTAGATGCCAGATTGGTGTCATAGTCAGATTTGCAGTACATTTACTCTGTATATCCTTATGAGTCTTATTAGACGAGGGAGGACAATGATTTGCATTTTTCTTTGTGTTGCGTAGATTCCGTCAACCTGTACCAATGCCGTCGTACCTGATAGCAATAGCAGTCGGAGCGCTGGAGAGTCGTGAAGTTGGTCCTCGCACCTTAGTCTGGTCAGAGAAGGAGTTTGTTGATAAGGCAGCATTTGAATTTTCTGAGGTAAGCTTATATAATTAGGTCTTTCATTGGTGGATATGAGATGTGAATTTTACTGTACAATGTATTAACCCATACACACCAGGAGTTCATGCATTCATGCAATGTGCACTGTGCCTCTGTTTTAGTAAATCTTATTAAACACAGAAGGCTCCAGAAGCAGTTAATCATCAAGGAGTCAACTACTAAGCATACTTTACTTCATCTGTTTACCACATCCCTTGGATTTTAGTGGGGGGGGGGAAATTTTGTATATTTATTATAATTAATTAGTACTAACAATGATTATAATAATCAGGATGATCATTGCATTAAAAATTATACTGATAGTAATAGAAATATAGACTTTATTCATAAATATTCAAATGGTTTTGTAAGATGAATAACTGATTCTGAAGACTGACCTCAAATCATCAAAATTGACGAAAAAAAAAATTGTAGATATAGGATGAGAGGGAAACCTTGACATCAGACCTACAAGATAGAAGAAGAATATTATCCATCTGTCAAATGTCTTATTTTCTGTCTCTCTGGTCTGGTGTTAAGATGCTGTATAGCAACTGAATATGGGAACAAAATTTAACAACTTCAAAAAAGAAAGAAAAAAATTATACTTTAGTACCCAGTTATTGAGATGTAGGTTAGGTGGCATAGTCACTGCCACACAAGGGACATCCTGTAGATGCAATGTCATTTATCAATTTACAACACACACACACACACAACACACACACACACAACACACACACACACAACACACACACACACAACACACACACACACAACACACACACACACACAACACACACACACACAACACACACACACACAACACACACACACACAACACACACACACACAACACACACACACACACACAACACACACACACACACAACACACACACACACAACACACACACACACAACACACACACACACACACACACACACACACACACAACACACACACACACACAACACACACACACACACACAACACACACACACACACACAACACACACACACACAACACACACACACACACACACCACACACACACACACACAACACACACACACACACACACACAACACACACACACACACACACAACACACACACACACAACACACACACACACACACACAACACACACACACACAACACACACACACACAACACACACACACACACACACAACACACACACACACACACAACACACACACACACACACAACACACACACACACAACACACACACACACACACAACACACACACACACACAACACACACACACACAACACACACACACACACACACACACACAACACACACACACACAACACACACACACACACAACACACACACACACAACACACACACACACACAACACACACACACACAACACACACACACACACCACACACACACACACACAACACACACACACACAACACACACACACACAACACACACACACACAACACACACACACACAACACACACACACACACACAACACACACACACACACACACACAACACACACACACACACAACACACACACACACAACACACACACACACACACACACACAACACACACACACACACACACACAACACACACACACACACAACACACACACACACAACACACACACACACAACACACACACACACACAACACACACACACACACACAACACACACACACACAACACACACACACACACAACACACACACACACACACAACACACACACACACAACACACACACACACAACACACACACACACACAACACACACACACACAACACACACACACACACAACACACACACACACAACACACACACACACACACAACACACACACACACACACACACAACACACACACACACACAACACACACACACACACACACACACAACACACACACACACACACACACAACACACACACACACACAACACACACACACACAACACACACACACACACAACACACACACACACAACACACACACACACACAACACACACACACACAACACACACACACACACAACACACACACACACACACACAACACACACACACACACACAACACACACACACACACAACACACACACACACACACAACACACACACACACACACACAACACACACACACACACCACACACACACACACAACACACACACACACACAACACACACACACACAACACACACACACACAACACACACACACACACAACACACACACACACAACACACACACACACACAACACACACACACACACACACACACACACACACCTTCAAGCCAGAACAGATAGGAAAAAGAGAGGAAGCATAAACAAATGGAGAGGAGAACAAAATAAGAAAGTAACTCAAATAATGAACAAAGCTCAATTATGCTCAGAAGGGACCTGATGCAGTAGAACAGAAATAGTACCTGCCCATAAAATGTTTCTAAATCATGTTTGCATATAGTGTTGGTGAGAAAAACAAATCTTAACCTTTAGTGTAAACTGGAATTTCCTTCTTTTTTTTTTTTTTTTTTTTTTTTTTTTTTTTTTTTTTTTTTTTTTTTTTTTTTTTTTTTTTTTTTTTTTTTCTTATTGTGCCTGATTGGTAGATGCCAGATTGGTGTCATAGTCAGATTTGCAGTACATTTACTCTGTATATCCTTATGAGTCTTATTAGACGAGGGAGGACAATGATTTGCATTTTTCTTTGTGTTGCGTAGATTCCGTCAACCTGTACCAATGCCGTCGTACCTGATAGCAATAGCAGTCGGAGCGCTGGAGAGTCGTGAAGTTGGTCCTCGCACCTTAGTCTGGTCAGAGAAGGAGAACGTGAGAGGGCTGCCAGTTGAGAAACATGCAAACCTGTGGCAAGAGCAACAAGGAATATTGTTTTGCAAAAAACATCCATAGGAGATGAATCTACAGAATACCTATGTGATGGGAGGAGATCCAGAACTTTTTGTAGAGACCATGATGGAATATTATTACGAGTTGGAGGCTGCCTTTGGAAGAGTGATCTGCAAAGCAATTCCATAGATCTCTCTGATGAATTTTTGGAATTTTGACCATGCTGATTGATACTGTCTAATGGTAGAAGGCCGATGTCCTTTGATAAGGTCCTCTACTTATAAAGGCTGGAAATTTTTGCTCAAGGCTGTTCTTAGAAACTCTACACATGTAGACGCAAGTATTCTGTAACATGGTCCATCAGAGTTTCCTGAAGCACCTTCCTAGTTAGTGGTAGTGGGTGAGGACACCAGTGAAGAAGATACTCTGTTCAATGACCTTCCCCCTCGACTTCCCACGGTACCCGGCACTCTACTAGTCATTGCCTGTGCCAAGTTTGACCTGCACCCAGAAAGGAACAATAATGACAAAATGCCTCCAGAGCAAGGCATTCCAACCCTTACCATCAAATACTTTATAACTACAAGCGAATTTATATCTTGATTATACTCAAAATGTCTGTTAAAAAATCCTTATTCTCAATCACTATGTTTGTAATCATTATTACTGACGATATTGTAGTTATCTAATGATCACGATTTAATTGTATTGACATATCCAGTGTCCCCAACCAGACCTGTGACCACAAGACCCTTACACTGCTATAAAATAGAGTCTGTACTGATATTTCCCACGAAAGAACAATGTTGCCATATTATTATGTTTTGTGAATATTTTGTGAACCCCTCAAAACTCAGAGAGCCGAAGTCACTCTGCCCTTAGCATCGGCTCGGGCAACACCTCAAACTCTCACAGACCGCTTCGCCTCGCGGGCGTGGCAAGAAGCCTCGCTCCTCTATGGGCGTCTCTGCCACGCCTGTCCTCTGTACACCACCTACCATATTCCCGTGTTAATAATTACTAGAAGCTGCGACAACTTTAACTCAACTTAACTACTTCACCTCAAGAAGAGCAAACACCAGTTTCATACAAGAGAGGGATACGAGTTCCACTAATGTATTATTACACTCTGCCCATGGTTGTGCTTCCCATAGAAGGGCAATCAATAAAACTTTGACTTTGTAAGACCTCGAGTGATTGATCACCGGAAGCATTATTGATGTTAGCAGAGGGGGAAACAGGCATCTGCCCACTGATGTTTTTTCCCTTCTAGGTGAGACGTAGTAAGATGTAGTCAGTGTTGCTTCACAATACAAAAAAGAAGCTCTGATGCTTTTAGGAGAGTCTGATGCATCTGTTGTTAGAGTTAAAGAAGGAGTTTTGGGAACCCAAGGAGAGACTCACATTAGACATTTCCTCTTCAGTCACCAAATCAGATGGGTGCAGATGTGATGAGGAAAAAGTACTATCTTGTCTGTATAGTTTGAAGTGAACGCTGCACATCCTTCAAGTTGTAGATGCCTTAGATGAATTTTCCTAAAAAGAATTATTTCTGTTGCATGATTTAATGACCCCAGAAGACTTTCCCACTCTAGACGGGATATGTTGATTGACAGAAGATTTCGGAGCAACTTGCCGATTCTGTTTGATATTGAAGCTGAAGATTTCTGAGGGTGGGGAATCCACAAAGGAGGAGGGCAACTCTTTTCCCAGTGCTACTGAAGGCCAAAGGAAACCGTTGAGCCCATCCCGTGGGCCATGACTCTTGCCAACCCAGGAGTCAGCCCAACTTTTGAATATCACTTTTTTCCTGGACAAAAAAAACTTCTAGAAATTGCCTCAGCGATTACTGAAAGATAAATGAAAGATAAATCATTTCCATGTATTGTATCATTTTGAAAACCCAAAGCTATTGATTTAGAAGCTGCACCTTCCAGATTTTCAGAGTGATCTATAAATTTATGGGAAGATCCTGTTGAATAACTAGATTGATGATGACTCTGTGAAGTCAAGGAGCGCTTAGGAGAATTAGACCTTAACTTAACTTTAGAAGTTGATGGTGCATGATGCGATAATTGGAAAATATTGTTTGGAATCTTAACTTCCACAGGTTGTGGTATCTCTTTAATCAGAGAACCTATCAGACATCCTTACAGAATCCCACACTTTCTGCATCAACAACCTGTTCTCTTTCCTCAAACGCATATATATCCTTTATCTAATCTAACACCCGACCTTAACCCTTTAACTCACCAATTCCTTTGCCCAGCCTAGACAACTAATCACTAACTCAACCACCTTTCACTAACATTAACTATAGTGCTACATGACCTTAGATGTCTAGCACATTTATCTTGCTTTTAACCATTAACCATTAACCATTTAATCAGAGATCGAACTATTTGTTCATCTCCACAAAGTAGTCAATGAAAAGGTGTGTTACTCAAGAGATACAATTTAATTTTCAACAGATTCTTGGGAATCATGCTTTTATGTAGTTCTAATCTTTATATCACTACTGCTTTTGGATGTGACTACAAGTGGAATACTTAAAGTTATAAAATTGGACATAACTTCTGATGCTTTCTTAACCCCTTGCCGCCGGGTGACGGCGATACGCGTGTAAACAAATCGCTCGAAAGGTGGCGTGCGGCCAAACCAGCCGGCGGCGCGCCAAAGCGCGGCGAGCCAGTGATTCGGGCTGACGCCCCGTACTCCGGCGCTCAAAGTCGCCTTTGTTTGCCAGAGCGTAGAGTTTTATTTTCCTTTTGTACACCCGGCGTCATTGGGTTAAGAATCAACCCAGAATCAAAACCACGATTCTGGTAAGTTGCTTTTGCTGATAGTATTAGAAATTTAGCAAGTATTGACATTATCAATAAAGTATTCCATGACTGTCAAGCAGTGAAGTGGGCTGTGTGATCCACCAATAATAATCTGTTGTCTGGTATTCTTAGTCAAGGAGGAAAATCCTTGCAGATTTTTGGAGCAGAAAAAAACTGAAAAAGCATTATTTGCTCAGAATCCATAGGCCACTGTGGACCACACACAGATTACACAGGTGCTGTAGATGCACTAGATTTAGCAGCAAATTTGTGTGTTGTGCAAATAAGCCATATTTGTGATATTTGAGGAGTCAGAATGTGAAGTACTGAGTGACAAGGCTGGGCTGACTTGAAACGGACTAATAGAGATTCAGCTGGTGGTGCTACTAATGAAGCAATGTCTGACAATGCTGACAATGTACTGGAATTTTCATCGAACTTCCACTTGTATGTCGAAGGGGCTCTTCTGCAACATGGCTAATTCCTGTATAATATCATGTTTGTCTAAAGAAGAGGTCAAATTTAGATGTCTGAATAGATGAGCTATATTCAGATTGAAGATTTTGACTTCTATCATCTTGTCTGTATGGTTTTGGAAGAGAAGATAGAATTCTTTTTTCAAGGAGGCGAGTAATCGCAGGAATGGTCAGTCAAAGACTTGTCACTTGTTGATGATGAGGGACTTCCTACAGTTGAAAATAATCTTTGTGATGAAATTGGAAATGAGTGACAAGATGAATGCTTTGGACTTTCATATGCATTGGGTAAAAGTTCAATCATTTCAGTTAGTAACTCAATTAATCTTGTTCGCTTTTTGTCCCAAGATGACTGCTTTCCATGATGAGCCTTTGTAGGTGATTTACAAAAAGCTTTTGACTGAACTCAAATTAGTGAAGCAAAAACAGAAGATTCTGGCCATGTGAGGCTGAAGCCATGAAAAGCTTATAAAGTTCTGAAGATGCCCGAGGAAGAACAGATCGAGACTCTCTTGTCATTCTAGCTGCTCTTAAATATTGTTTCTTGATTAGCTCCCATTCTTTCGATGGTGGATCATCTGGAGGTTGCATTTGTACTATTTGCAACCATTTTTGGCAAGTTGAACATTGCTGAGGATCAAAGTTGCCCGAAGAAGCACAGGGAGCATGTTTAGGGCAATGATCATGCTCTAGAGACCTTATCTTTTCCCTGCAAGATCCCACACTGCAGACTAAAGCAGACTTGCAATTATTAGCAATTGTTTTAGTGTTTGAAGTAGATGTCATGTGTAAAAACTGTAAAATTTTTGAAATTTCCATATCTTACTTTTTATTATGTATCTATATTATTTATCTATATTAGTTCTTTATTTTACAGAAGACAAAATGCATTTTGTGCATGTGTGCTTATTTATTTATTTTACAATTTGTATTAGCCAAAGTGCTGACAGGCAAATCTAAAATTACATTATAAAGTATGAATTACAATAAACAAAAAGCATAGTCCACAGACTCAACACATAGCTTACAAAAACAGCTCTGGCAACCTAGAGTGAGGATTGAAGATTTTCTGTGCATTTTTATTAAGCCGTATATTACGCGCATGTACTTTCTTAACCCCTTGCCGCCGGGTGACGGCGATACGCGTGTAAACAAATCGCTTGAAAGGTGGCGTGCGGCCAAACCAGCCGGCGGCGCGCCAAAGCGCGGCGAGCCAGTGATTCGGGCTGACGCCCCGTACTCCGGCGCTCAAAGTCGGCGCGCTGCCTTTGTTTGCCAGAGCGTAGAGTTTTATTTTCCTTTTGTACACCCGGCGTCATTGGGTTAAGACCAGGTAGCTATGACTACTTCATAGCGGTTGAACTGCCATCTTTCAGCAGTGACCAAACACACCAAGAAGTCACTCATCATATGGGTTAAGTCTTCCTTTTTCAGAGAAATTATGGGTCCTCAAATTAGTTTAACCTGATACTACCAGGCCACGCCTAGCGGCATCATAACAAACTGCTTGGAAATGGTCATGGGCCTGTTACAGAAGTAATGGGATACCATGAACCATTTGGCTTTGGAAGAAAATGGTATTGTACAGCATGCCAGTTTCACTACTGCGCATGTGCTTATGAGCTTTATAAAGCACAGAATTGATCATGGGTCTGTTACGTAAGTAAGGGCACTCCATGAACCATTCAGCTTTAGAAGAAAACGGTATCGTACAGCATGCCAATTTAACTGCTGCGCATGTGCTGTTTAACTGTATGAGGCTGAGGACAGAGTGAATGAGGTATTCAATGCACAATAAATGTCCATAGAATGAAGCACTAAAAAGATTGCCATTCCAGCTAATTTGTGGTTGCAAAAACACACACATAATACAGCACTTTTCACTTCACTTCACCGTCTTAACAACACAGAATCTGCCAAGAGATGGAAGATAATTACATATGATAACTGTAGATCTTATCAATCTTTGATGTGTAGCAAACACTCTGAACCCCCCCCCCCCCCCCCATTTTTACTGGATATTAATTTTTCTGAAAGTTGTAGCAAGTGTCGGTTTAGAGAAATCTGAGGTCAGCAAGTGCATCCTCTGCGTAAGGACTAGGGGTTTGCGGTAATGGGCAATTACGGCAATTGATGGCTGGGGATTGTTCTGTTTTTCATTCTGGTGGGCAGTTGTTTGTTTTAACAACGATGTCTCAACTCAGTTGGGAAGTACCAATTATACTTTTAACCCAATGGTGACGGGTGAAGAAAACAAAAAAAAACAAAAAAACTCTACACTCTGGCAAACAATGGCGGTGCACCGACTTTGAGCACGTGAGTTCGGTACATCAACCCGAATCACTGGCTCGCCGCGACATACAGCCGCACGCCAGCTTTCGAGCGGTTTGTTTTCACGCCCATCGGCTTCACCTGTCGGGAAGGGGTTATGCATAGTCGCTACAGCATCTTGACACCAGACCGGAGAAACAGAATATTGATAAGAAATTGTTGATAATGCATGCATCTGGTGCCATTGCATTTAAAAGGTTCACTGTCTGATACTGATGTCATGTTAGCATTACACTTATTCCTTAGCTTCAGAGATTCATTGGAATGTAGGGAAAGTTAATTAAGGCATATATTTCAGACTGAGACTATGTTAAAGACTGCTGAGGAACTGTGTGGTGACTACGTATGGAGTCAGTACGATTTGCTGATCCTTCCACCAAGCTTCCCATATGGTGGGATGGAGAATCCATGCCTCACTTTTGTCACCCCAACCTTGCTGGTATGAATAAACTGACTGGTAGCTTGTTTTTTCTTGTTTCTTTTCTTTGTCTTTAATGGAAATATAACAGCTGTGTGTGTTTCAGTCACACTTCAGTATTCTTTGATGTTGATATCTCAATGTGTTTTTACAGGCTGGTGACCGCTCCCTAGCTGATGTTGTTGCACATGAGATTAGTCACTCATGGACGGGAAATCTGGTCACCAACAAGCAGTGGGAGCACTTCTGGTTGAATGAGGGCTTCACCATGTTTGTGGAGCGTAAGATTGCTGGCAGGATGCATGGTGAGGCTACCAGAAACTTTTCTGCAATTGGAGGGTGGAAGGATTTGCGAGATTGTGTAAGTTATCTGAGAATTATTAAATTTTTTGTACAATAAAACACATCTTTTAATTGATTGGTTTATTGATTTTTTTTAACAACAATAACAACAATAACTTAGTAAAGTATCCCTTGTGGTATTCCCACAATGAAGAAATTGTGCATATTGTGGGCTTCCGTTTTCATTTTAGGGAACCACATTTAAGTAAGGTAGATATAAATACAAAACTTAACTTGTTCAGCACAATCCTTCACATTATTCACAGATCCGTACAAGAGACGATGGAAAAGACCCATTAACTTGCCTGATACCAGACCTGACTGGGGTGGATCCTGATGATGCATTCTCCACTGTTCCGTATGAGAAGGGACACACATTTTTGTGGTATTTAGAAACCCTTGTTGGAGGACCATGTAAGTTTAGAACAGTTGATGTGTTTACTATCTCTTTATTTCTTTTTTTCTTCAGTATTGAAAAGCTTTACCCTATGGAGATACTGTGTAGTTTCTATTATTTCTGCCATGATTCATCAGAATTTTTTTTACAATGAACAGCTTTTACATTGTTTGTTAAACTGTAAAGTGATACTAGGATTATTGTATTAGTTTCATATGTATTAAAGCCCTGACCTCACTGTGTCTTTCTTCATTTGTATTGTCATTATTATTATTATTGCTACTTTTTTTTCTCTGTTTCTTTGTTTATTAGGTATTACTGGAATTGAAGTAGCTCATTATATGTTAATGCAAATTACTGTCTTTCAGTTTCTCTTTTTGTTTTCTTGGCCTCCTTCACCAGCTTCTCTTATTTTGTCTTTTCATTCTCCTTCTTCCTCTTCTTTTTTCTCCTCTTCCTCCTCCTCCTCTTCCTTCTCACTATGGGGTGACATCACATGACAACTTGCACAGTTGAGCCTGGTCTAAATTGTGCATGCTAAGTAGTTGTTTTCCCCTTTTGCCCCTGGCTGTCATCCAAATTAAGTTTGAAGTCCTTTTATTTTCATTTCCTAAACTGCAGCCATTTTCCAATTTCTCACTTGAGTGGCTGACTATACAAGATCCCTGG